TGAGCCTTGAGAGGAGAGGTTTGGTGAAGATATCCCATTTAGGACTGAGTAATCCAAAGTCTTTCAATCTGCATATTATATAGTTGTGCATCTCTTTGTTAATCATGATATGCTGCAAGAAGAAGCTTCTAGTTGAGTGATGCACCAATCTATGGGTACAACAATATGTCTTTAGGGGCCATTTTATTGCAGAATAATAGAAGGTTTTCCCCTAGGCCTATGACGTATCTACTGTCAGGTTTTTAGCCATGTTAGCAGTGTCAGGTATGCGTTTCACCTCATGGAGCAGGTCTTTAATCCTATGAGGAAGTGGTTGGTTAACCCCCTAACACTTGTGCCGTTCTTGCACCAGTATATCTTGTAGGTTGTTTCCTGTTACAGGTCACAGTGTTTGCAGTTAGCTGAGTGATATTAATGATTATTCTTCTCTGGTAGCATGCAAAGTGCCTCCCAGTGCCAAATGCTAGTCAGCAGGGGTTATGCTTCTAGTTGGGCACCAGCTCAACTTCTCCATGTTTGATGGCATAAATAAATGTGGGCTCCAGCCACAGGGCCTTACCATCAGGTTGTAACCAGCAGCATTGGCCATAGCCTGTGATGTTCAGGGAGAGTATATGGGACTCTTTTGCCCAGAAACTCAGCAAGATATAAACCTTTTTTTTTTTTTTTTTTTTTTTTTTTTTTGCACTGGAAGTTTTACTTGGTGGCATAAGGTATCTAGTTGGGACATTGTCTTCCCATTATATGATGACTCAATTAAATTCCTCTCCACATATTTTAGGGAACTTCTACAGGAGGAGGTTTCCATATGGTTTTAGGTGTCCCTCCCCATATTCCCTCCTTTATCCTGCTCTCCCATCTCCTTCCCCTTATCTCTCCTATTCTAGTTTCTCCTATATCTCTTCATAACCTGTGTTCTATTTCCCCGTCCTTGGAAGACCCTCTCTTCCTCTCTGGTCCCTTACTAGGTACCTAACTTCTGTGATTATTTGGATTGTAGCACATATATTGAAAGCTTAAAAGTTAACATTCAAATATAAGAGAAAAACGTGTATTTTATAAGCAGTATAGGGATCATAGCATTTCTTTTAGGATTGATATTAGAATTTAATCCTTATATAAATATTCTGTATACACATAGCATATTCCTAATATGGTACACAAACTATTTCAAAAAAGCTATTTGTTTTTGGTGGTATGACTTGCACAGTGTACATAAGGGATGCAATTTTGCTCTTTACCATAAAGAGTATAAATTTGTGGTAATATTTTATTTGTGCTCTAACAAATAAAGCTTGACTTGGGATCAGAGGACAAAGCCAGCCACTTTATTAAACATAGAGGTCAGGCAGTGGTAGCACACACCTTTAATTTAGCATTTCAGGAGGCAGAGATTCATCTGGATCTCTGTGAGTTCAAGGTCACATTGGAAAAAGAACCAGGCATGATAGCACACACCTTTAATCCCAGCGCTAGTTAACCATAGAGGTCTGTAGGTATGTACAGACAGACAGGAAGTAATATAGCTGGGCAGAAAGAGGAAGTGAGATGGCAGGGCACAGAAAGGTATTTAAGGTGTGAGTATACAGGAAGTAGCACTCTTGGGCTGAGGATTTCCTAGTGGTAAGAACTTATGGCTGACTTGTTCTTCTATTCCTCTGATCTTTCAGCTTTCACCCCAATATCTGGCTCTGGGTTTTTTATTAATAAGTCTGTTTAGCAATTCGTGTTACATAAATTCTTAGCACTTTTATCCTAAATGTATGTCATTTAAAAATAACAGACAGAATACTCCGTAAAATATAAAAGTATTTGGTCATTTGTGTTAGTAATAGAGTATAAATGAATTAAAATGCTTCATTAACATTAAAGTCTCTGGTTTGGAATAATAGATATTATCAGACATTTTGAAGGAAAATGAACTTCCTTACTTCCTCATTTATTTATTTGCTTATTTACTTTTATGTTTATGGGTATTTTGTGTATGTTTGTGCATCATGTGCATGTGGTGCTTGTAGTGTCAAGAAGAGGGCACCAGATCCCCTGGAACCAGGGCTACAGATGCTTGTAACCACATGGGTGCTGGGAATTGAACCCAGGTCTTCTGCTAGAGCAGCTAGTGTTCTTAGCCACAGAGCCACCTCTCCTGCCTCCCCCGCTTCTTCGTTTGAATAATTGTTGATTTATGCTAAATAGCATCTGAGAAATTTATAATGCTAAAATGAGTTCTTACCATTATTTGGAAGTGTTACATATGCTACCAATAAGGGCCTTATTCAACTGTAATAGCCCAGGCTGAGGAGGTTTGTGCTCCTCTTTCCAGAGTCATGGAAACATTCAATAATGCGTCAGCCACACTGCGTTCCTCTCAGCATTTGCAATGTTTTTTTTTTGGTTTTTAGAGACAGGGTTTCTCTGTGTAGCTTTGCGCCTTTCCTGGAACTCACTTGGTAGCCCAGGCTGGCCTCGAACTCACAGAGATCCGCCGGCCTCTGCCTCCCGAGTGCTGGGAAGCATTTGCAATGTTAGGCTTTTGTACAGACCGGCTCTGATCATATGCTGTTTTTTGATAGACTCCTATTATTTTCTGAATTGGAAATTAATGGAAGATTGTTTTCAATTATCTAATCATCTAACTCTCCTCCAATGTAGTAGGGGGATATTCTTTAAAAAAATGAACCATTTGACTTCCTTATAATTATACAATGACATGTTTCCAGAGTGGGTATTTAAAAACCTTTAAAAACTTATAAAATATTTCTTGTGGCTTATTCTACTGGCACATCTCCTCACACAGTAGTTGCTGACTTCTACTCTTTTCTAATCTGAAACCATAATTATTGTTATCATCTTCCTGCTTTTTTCTCTCTTCATGTCTTATTGTTGACTTCTGAGACCTCTGAGGAAAAAAAAAATCTGTGTTTGGGTTGATTACTGTGGAGTTGAAAACAACACTTTACAAAGAACTTTCTCTCTCTGTCCGTGTCCAGGCCACCTCATTGACTGTTGACCTTTTTTTGTATGGTCCATATGAATGAAACTAGTGTTCTGATTTCGGGTATAACCAGATGTGTCCAGAAAATAAGAACTATCCGAATCATGTGTTTGCTTAAACATTTGAAATGGAATATATGGACAGTTCACCATTCTTATAGCCCAATGGAGAATATTTGTATTCTGTCCCGAGAAGTAATAGAGTAGAATAAGAGAAAAAATGTGAAATAAATCAGTCTAGGAGAAAACTTAGACTTGGAGTGCACAAATCACAATTCTGGATCCAACTCATAAGTAGTGTTGAGAAAAGAATACGGGATTTGTAGTCATCTAAAGTTTGCTTCTCTACTTGGCAACTTCGAGGGTGGACAGACAGCCTTGAGTCTTAAAAGTTATAGCCTTTCAGAAAGCACAGTGGTGGAGCCCAGTTCCAACTGATACATCTACAAAACACTCCTGCGCCTAAGGCTCAGGGAACATTGTGGGAAGATTTTAAGAGCCAGAGGATCACGGAGTTTGCTGTGAGATTGTTTTTCATAATATTAGAAGCTAAACCCATGAAGACTCACCACATGAATCCTTAACTGAGACCTGAATAAGGATAAGATGAGTAGGCATACCACTTACAAGCTGGGTAATTAACTATAGGCCAGAAAGAGGAGGTCAGGAAGGTGGTTGGAAAGTTTTCTTTCTGGCCTGAAGTTGGCCATTGCTGGGGGTTATAGAATGTTAAGGTGATCAGTAACATCTTAATATTACTTGGGGTTCATTGGGCAGGGCAGTCAAGAATCTAGGGGAACAAGTTAATTTTCTTCTAGAAGGCAAATTACTGGAATTGTCACAGTTCAGCCAAAATGGAGGAGTTCACAAAATGCGGTTGCCCTGGCCAACAGGAGGGTCAGGGACTGTGCGCTGCCATTTTACTGGGACTCTCCAAATCAGAGTGTTCCCAGCTACTATGAAATTATCTCAGGAGTAGTGGCATCAGGCCTTTAGTCCCATTGCCTCCTGTGCCTTCTTATTGTTCCTTGTTTACTCGTCAAGCTCTGGGTATTTTAAATAAACTTAGTCCTTAAGGTAGACTCACGCGGGTAACATTTCTACTTTGTCTACTCATTCCATCCATCCTTCCTATTCACTCTTTTTTTTTTAAAATCTCAGAATATCAATTTAATGACAGGCTTTCTGCTACCGAATAAATAAATGAATAAATAAAAGGTGATTTAGAGCAGAGTTTTCAAACTTTTATGTGCACATAAATCACCCACAGACGGTGTTAAAATGCAGACTCTGATGCGGTCGGTCTGCTGCAGCCAGGGTTCTGTATTTCTAAGAGGCTCCATGGTGCTGTGCTCTGTGGACCATTCTCTCAATATCAAGTATTTAAAGACAGCATCATAGGATGCCAGATCATCTGTGTACTGTTTCCTTTCCAGTCATGTTTAAAGAAATGAGTTCCTTAGTTGAATTCAGTTGATGTGTCCAGTTGCAGAGGAAACCACTTTAAACTACCTGAAGACTGTTAGAAAGAAGGCAGTTCCAAATTGGAGAAAGAACAATATAAACTGGATATGAACACCACAAAAACAGATGTTTTCCTATATCACAGCAATCCAGTGACTCTCAGATGATTCCAGCCTCCTTTTGCTAAGCTGAATGTTAAATGACCACTGCAGTGTTGCTCAGAACTGAATCTCTCTGACCTGGGAGAGAGCTTATTAAACCTATCCCAGTGCATGGGCCACACACTTATCTCAGAGCTTGACTGCTGTAACACCTGCATGAAAGCAAAGCGAAGTCCATCTTTGTTCTCCTGCCTTTTCATTTGGCATCTGCTCAGTAGGCACATTTATGAATAATTCTGTTGGAGTTGACTGGGTAATGCTGATCTGGGTAATTAAACACTGCAGAGTATATGGAAGTCCCGCGTGAGAATGCTTCTGTGTAAGCGACATGGCAGAGTGTCCCGGGCTGGCCAGGCTCATGCCCTCTCTTTCTGTTTCCAGGGAGGAGAACACTGTTACTACCAGGGCCAGATCCGAGGAAACCCTGGCTCATTTGTTGCCCTGTCCACATGCCATGGACTCCAGTAAGTGCCACATAAGTTATTTATACATTTGCTATTTCAATAACTTTCCTTTACGTTTAATGTACTAGTAAAATTTAGAGTTTCAGGATGTACTAGTAAAATCTTAGAGTTTCAGAAGCCAGAGGCTTTTACATTATGCTGCCATACAGTGATACTTGGAGACTTTTTCTAGTTTCATCTAGATCCAGACAGGAGTGGCTTGGGTAACTTGGTTTTCTGTTTCTGGGGATGATTAGTCCCTCAAAACCAATTCAGTCCTCCACTCGTTCTTGATTTGAATTTTTATATTTTCCTGAAATGATAGAAATTCTAGCAGATGAAAATTCATGGCTCTTTGCACAAAGACAAAGGCTGCAGATGACCTCAGAAGCTCTGTTTACAGCAGGAACCCACATAGCTCACAGCAGCCGTGGGAGGGTACACCCACGCTCATGGAGCTCGGAAGACAAGTTTGTCCTTCCTTGCTTCCTTTCTCATGACCTTCACATCACAGAATGCTTGTTGATGGTGAACATGGGAATACACCTCTCTCCATCCTGTCCATGATGGTGATACCCACAGGGCCATTTTCTATTTGTTTTCTGGCCTCTTGAAAACTACCAGTCCAACCCCAAGCATTCTGTTTAGACCGAATTGCTCCATTCCTTCTGGCTTATTTTACTTTGTTTGCACAGAGTGAGCTAAGACTTAATTACTTTTATGTTTCGTTGGTAGATATCCTTTTTGTCATGAGTTGGAAATGTAGCCTTTTCCGTCTAATAAACTGTTACTATGAATCTGCTCTGTACCAGGCACTAGAAATGTTAAGGCAATTTTAGCATGTGTGAGTCCTGAGACCTCAGTGTAGTGTGCAGGGCAAATGTAGCCTGGCTTCATCTTGTGGAATATGATAGGTATATTTAAGTATATTTGTTTTATTTGAGAAAGGAAAAAAACCCACACCAGGGCCAAGTCTAAGCTGAGGATTGGCACTGGAGGACAGTAGAGAGAGCATGAGAGCTCCGAAGGTGTGTCACGTGCAGCAGGTGGAGTGGGCCCTGTGGCGTGCTTTGAGAGAATCTTCCAGTGGATCTTAGATCTTAAATCTACAGTGGCAATGGAATGAGAAGGGGTGGAGAGTCTGGCTAGTGGCCCAAGTGACAGCGCTGGCCAAGCTCTGGGGAGAGGTATGTTAGAGAGAAGCTGCCAGGGTAAGTGAATGACCAGAGGAGTGAGGATGTGTGCCTGCTTAATGCAAAGCTTCTATTTGCTGCTTATGATAAATAAATGCATATTTGTTTTGCATATGTTCCTTGAGTAAAGAGAGATTATTAAAGACATGGCATCTTTGCTTATTATTCAGGCCTTGATTTTCTTACCAGATGAAAGAAATGTTGAAATCATTTTCATTGTAAAAGCAGTGTAACTAATCTCAACACAGGATGGCTGTAGGCTAGGGATATTATGTTTGACCTTGCTGACATTTATAACAGCAAATGTGTGTTGGAAGGAAGAGTGAAAATATAAGAAACCTTTTCCTGTCTCTCTCTTTCTCTTAGAATCTCAGCCCCCGTCACAATGTGAGCATTGTGCTCACTGCTTTTTAATTTGCTTCCCAGTTTCCCAAATGGACAGTGTTGTGAGTCCCAGGAGGGAGCTATGAGCCCCTTTTGTGGGCTCTACTAGGCACGAGAATCTAAGAACAACAGCTGGGTTCTACCTCCCACAGTCCTTTAAGGAAGGTGAGAACAATGCCTTTCAGGATCGTGCCTCAGTTGCTTTAAGTTAGTATATTTTATATCTACCTTTAAAAACTCTTTCACTTAAAACTAAGTGAAGTGAAATTAATAGAAAATTCACAATGTGTCTACAAGTACTGACAGGATTGTGCTCACCTGTGTTTGGGCTTTCTTAGATGGTAGAAGCATGTTTTGTACTTTTGTTACTGATGAACTATATTGTCATCATGATTTTACTTTTGAACACAATTGCTTCCAGCAATATTTTGGAGGAATATTGCTAAACATTAAAGGAGCTAGGTTATCTCAGTTATAATGGTTTAGGTATAAGCTATATTACTTCATGCCTAATTCATCTATTATGAATGACCAAGTACATACTGAGGTTTATTCATGTTTCTGATTCATTGCATTTAGTTGAAGAACATAAAATGGGAAAGATCATATTAATAAGCTTTTCTCATAGAGTCTATGAGAGTACATTTATACAAATTCAAAGGATTAATAGGCAATATTTTGATCCATGTAAGCTTGATGTTATCACAAAATCTTGTAACTATGGGAACCTAGAAAGATGAAATCAAATATAAGTTTATTGCCCTCTGGTGGAACTTTGTAAGAATGGCTGCTGTTTTCTTTCAAAGTCTTATTTTAATTCACTTTTATAACTATTTAGCTCAACTGTTCCATAATGACTTGGTTCTATCTATAGGGTTTAATTATTACAGGCTTAACTTATGCAAAATTTATGTTATACTGTAAAGCTGTCAATTCTCAAAGCAAATGAAACAGCTGTTTTATTATTATTATTATTATTAATTATTAGGCTATTAGTAAAAGCATGTTGTTATGAGGAATCAGAATTTTCTTTTTTATCTTTTAATTTTTTTATTATTCTCTTATACATTACATCCTGACCACCACCTCTCCCTCTCCTCTTAGTCCTGCCCCCAACCTCCCCTCTCCCCCAGATCAATTTCTCCTCCATGTCCTTAAAAAAAAGAGCACACCGAGGTGGTAGTGGTATATGCCTTTAATTCCAGCACTTAAGAGGCAGAGGCAGGCAGATATTTGTGAGTTTGAGGCCAGCCTGGTCTACAAATCGAGTTCTAGGACAGCCAGGGGCACACAAAGAAATACTGTCTTGGAAGGAAAAAAAAAAAAAAGCAGGCCTCCCAGGGATATCAACTGAATGTGGCAAAACAAATTATAACAAGACTAGTCACAAACCCTCCTATCAAGGCTGGATGGGACTTCAGTAGGAGGAAAAGGGTCCCAAGTCAAACAAAAAGAGTCAGAGACACCCTCCACTCCCATTGTTAGGAGTCCCATAGGAACACCAAGTTATACAGCCATAACTTCTTTTTTTTTTTTTTTTTTTTTTTTTTTTTTTTTGAGACAGGGTTTCTCTGTGTAGCTTTGCGCCTTTCCTGGAACTCACTTGGTAGTCCAGGCTGGCCTCGAACTCACAGAGATCCGCCTGACTCTGCCTCCCGAGTGCTGGGATTAAAGGCGTGCGCCACCACCGCCCGGCACAGCCATAATTTCTATGCAGAGGATCTAGATCAGAACCATACAGGGTCTGTGATTGTTGCTTCAGTCTCTGTGAGCCCTGTTGAGCTCTGCTTAGTTGATTCTGTGTGCCATGTTCTGGTGTCTTTGACCCCTCTGGCTCCTACAATCATTCCTCTCCCTCTTCTGTGGGGTTCCCCTGGTTCCACCTAATGTTTGGCTGTGGGACTCTGCATCTGCTCCCATCAGCTGCTGGATGATGCCCCTCTGATGACAATTGGGCTAGGTGATTATCCATGAATATAGCAGAATATCATCAGGAATCATTTCATTGACTTTTTTTTTTTTTTTTAGCCAGTAATGTTTGGTTCCATCTTGGGTTTCTAGGCTGTCCAGCCTCTGGTTCCTGGACATCCAGGCCAACCAGGCATGGGCTCCCTCTTGTGGCTTGGGCCTCCAGTTGGATCAGACTAGTTCTGCGCCATCAGCCACCATTACCTCAACGTGTCTTGCAGGCAGGAGAGATTGTAGGTCGAAGATTTTGAGGCTGGGTTATGTCCCAGTCCCACTTCTGGGAGCCTTGCCTGGTTATAGAAGATGACCAGTTTGGGCTCTGTTTTCCTTATTACAAAGAGGCTTGCAAGGGTAACTCTTGTGGATTCCAGGGATTTTCTGCACTAGGTTTCTACGTCACCCCCCCCCCCCCCAGTCTTCCCCCAATTCCAGTCCTCCCTCCGTCCCACCCGTGCCTGATCCCTCTTGTTCCCTTCCCCCCAACTCCCAGTCCACCCATAAAATCAGGTGTCCATAGGTGTATGGACCTACGTCTGGGTCTTCAATTCAATTCCATTGATCAACCTGTCTATTTTTATGCCAATACCTTGTGGTTTTTATTACTATATCTCTGTAATACAGCTTCGAATCAGGGATGGTAATACCTCTGGATGTTCTTTTATTGTACAGGATTGCTTTAGCTATCTGGGGTTTTTTGTTTTTCTGTATGAAGTTGAGTATTTCCCTTTCAAGGTCTGTTGGAATTTTGATGGGGATTGTGTTGAATCTGTAGATTGCTATTGGTAAAGATGACCAGTTTTCCTATGTTAATCCTACTGATGGCAGATCTTTCCATCTTCTGATATCTTCTTCAATTTCTTTTTTCAAAGACTTACAGGTTTTACTGTAGGGGCCTTTCACTTGTTGGTTGGAGTTACCCCAGGATACTTGATATTATTTGTGGCTATGTGAAGAATATTGTTTCCCTGATTTCTTTCTCAGCAGGTTTGTCATTTGTTTATAGAAGGGCCACTGATTTTTTTTTTGAATAGTTTTGTATCCAGCCACTTCACTAAAGGTATTTATCAGCTGTAGGAGTTACCTGATAGAATTTTTGAAGTTGCTTATGTATACTCACTGCAGACTGCAAAAATATGTAAAGTAGGAATTCGGCTGATTATGACAACTATACCTTGGCCAGAGGATGAGGCCAAGACTCAAGGAGTCTTGGTGATGCTGGTTTTTTATTATTAGCCACCTCCTGCTATGAATTTCTTGAGTGCTTTTGTAGCTTTTCCATCATCCATTGGACACAATTTCCCTGTACAATTAAAGTGTTTGTATAACTTGCTCTAACTGTGCTAACAACCAACTCAGTCAAAATCCCTAATTTCAGGCCTTTCTGTAATTATCGTCATTAGCAGCATCCGGCCAGGACCATCCCTGGATAGATGAAAGTGTCTTATCAGAGATACCTCCCAAACTCTCTGGGAACAG